TGGCGTTTTTTTTTTTTTTATCTTAAAACGAAAATTCTATATAAATTTTACTGTTTATGAGGGAGTTCTGTAGATTTTCTCTCTTGTATAACCGAAAGATCATCAGAGATCATCAGATTACATAAATAAATCATTCAGTTATTCAATAATATATGCAATATAAATACTGTTTAATGCCATCATTTAATATAAGTCATATTAGATTTTGTATAGTGTTTTGTAGTTATGTATTATAATTTTATAATTAAAGTAACATATAGACTACTTCATTAAAAGATGATGATTATAAGTTCTGTAAAATAGATTTTGTATTTACTTCAACAGGAAATATGCGAAAGATTAAACATAATTTCAATTTTAAAAATAAGATATTCGAATTATCTAATACTTAGAAATTTAAAAATATCAGTCGTTATGACCTTCAGTAATTAACCTTGAAGTAAAATATATAAAAATTTCTTAGAAATACAGTATAGTTTAACGCATTCGAATTTATTTAATTTAAATTTTAAATGTTATTTCTATTTTCTTTTTTAATTTTTATAAAGTTACTAGCTGTTACCCGCGACTTCGTCCGCGGAGATTTTGCAAACAAACCCCATTTACATTCAATATTTTAATAACCATAGTAATTGTTAGGTCTATATAACACCTACCGCTGAAGAGAATTGCCGAGAATCAAACGAACTATTTTCAATTTGATCAATTTTCTGGAACGTTTACAATCGTTTTATAATCGAACCAATATGCAATAACAAATTCGAATTTAAAACGGTTCGAACATTTTTAAAATCGAAATAGATAAAAATATTTATAACAATGTCTGAAATGTTATTAATTTAATATACCTAAGTACTCAATGAAGACTAAATGTAGTTGGAAACAAAAAATCGCATCTAAAATAGTACAGTAGAAGCCGTTTTTCCGGTTAAGCCTTAATGCTCTCCCTCTCCCCCACAGGGAAATTTCGAAAAATCCCTTCTTAGTGTGCGTTTTCATGACGAACCCTAACTGTGTACCAAATTTCTGCTCTTTAGGTCCAGCGGTTTGCTCTGGGCGATGATGAATCAGTGAGTCATTCAGTCAGTCAGGACAAGCAATTTTATATATACAGATAATAATTTATATTATATTAATTGATAGAATCTTTATCTTTAAAAGTTCAAAATAATTTATAAAAAAATAAAAAGTATAATTTATGATATGATAATTAATGAAGAATGTTTTGTGTGGAACGAGTTAATTTAAAAGAAGCTTTGTATTTTCTATTTTAATCAATTTATAAAATTTTTATTTAAATTATTGAGTAAAATATTCTTATAGAACTTAAAATTTTTTTTTATTTAATAAATTCTCAATTTTTATGTACATATATCTGGTTCAAAATTTATTGATAACAATTGAAAGAAATTAATGTTCAGATGGAATGCAACTCTCGGGATATTGGATTTCTTCTGAATAATCTTTGGATTTCTTACTGAGTTCTTCCAAAATTCGATATTTGCTTTCTATTTTAAGTTGATTTGTTGATTTATCCGCAGCATTAAGACAATGGAAATGAGCATTAATCCTTATTGAACCTTTAGGTTCGCATCCTTTCTCACACGTAATGATAGGTGTGATAGAGAAACATACTTTGTTTTTAACTTCAACGTAAGGATTACGTTTTAGAAAGCAATCGTGACCTAGATTTAAAAGAGAAAACAAAAAAATCACATATTTTATTAAGAAAACAAGAAAAATAAATATAGAAATGATATATTATTTTTACTTTTTACTCTACAAGGACTATAATGTTTTGGAACATCACAATTTTCTTCTGGTATAGCGTAACTATAACCAAAATTTCTAACATCATGGTAGATACATCCTTCCGGTCCTCTAAACTCGTTTTGCCTATTTCCGTTATAATCACCACATAAGCCGCATTGTTTTCCTTTTTGATTTGGTGAAAGCTGCAAGAAATTTCGAACACTTTCAGAAATAAGTTAAAATTTTTAATGTTAAGTCTACATAAAGACTTAATCTTCACCTGTATATAGATTCCCTTTCCATTGTAGCTTACAGAGAGTCCATACACATGAGAACGGAATGAATAGAAAAAACCATTATAAGCAATGACAAAGAGAAGTGATTGCCTTTCGTTAATAGTCACATAATGATAATACGGTTCATTTTCAACAACAGTAACTCGTTTTCCATTAACTCTTACAATAATATCGGATTCATCAGAAACTGGTAGAGCTTCCACTTTGTACTTATCAAAAAATACTTTAACAGCCTAGAATATATATAAATATTAAAATAAATTTATATATAAACTTATATATAATTTTTAATATTACCTTCTCGTAACGTGGATGATTAATTTTCTTTCCAAGAACAAGAAAACGTTGTGTTGGTGAGCAATCTTTAGCAAGAATTTTATAACAATCAATAGGTGGAAGCGTATAAGTTACGTTATCAAATGTCTTCACTTTATCTTTTTGCACCGAGCAAAAAGCTATAAAATCAAAAACGTAGCATATTTAAGTATGATAGTAATAAAATATATCTATTGTATTACATATTAATATAATAATTAAAAATTTACGGGGAGAATAAGTCCTAATATATTCCTTTAAATTACTGTAATAATAAGATTGATAAACTTTGATCGGATAGAATTGAGGGACATAAATGTGAGAATAATGAATAGTCTCGTGTGGTTCGTAAACACAAACATCTGCTACATTATCGTGAAGAGATACGTTGAACTCGATACGAATTTGTCCATCAGAATTCTTAGCATAAATGTTACGATCCACGTGATTATAGTAACAATGTCTGAAACATGACGCAAGTTTATACGTAACATTCTTAAAATATTCGGGTAACTATAAAAAATAAAATGAATAATTATTTAAATCACTATTTTCAATAATAGAAAAATTATAATTAATATTTCGATATTGTACGAACTACTCACGTTTTCATAATTAATTTCAATATTATATTGTCGTAATTCAGTCATTAGATGCATATAATATATACAATAATGGTTAAAATAATATCCGTGTTGTCTTTCTTCTTTGCATTTTTGATAATAGTAAGCATATTCGTTAAATCTTTCGTGAGTTACTGGTTCTTCTCTTCTAACTTCGTAATTCTTTTGCTCTTCTGTTCTATCAAAATGGCCTTTAATTGTTATCTTTAAAAAAAAGTATAAATGTTAAAGAATTTTCTCAAAAATTTCAATATTTTAATGAAATTTTGATGTAAATCCAATGAAAGAAGAACTCATTTGATTACTATGTTTAATATCTGAAAATGTTGATAATTGTTATCTATTTTTAATTTAGTTGTTGGTGTTTATCAAATTTCTAAAAGATAATATATTTAAAAAAGAAAAACTAAATGTAGTTGGAAACAAAAAATCGCATCTAAAATAGTACAGTAGAAGCCGTTTTTCCGGTTAAGCCTTAATGCTCTCCCTCTCCCCCACAGGGAAATTTCGAAAAATCCCTTCTTAGTGTGCGTTTTCATGACGAACCCTAACTGTGTACCAAATTTCTGCTCTTTAGGTCCAGCGGTTTGCTCTGGGCGATGATGAATCAGTGAGTCATTCAGTCAGTCAGGACAAGCAATTTTATATATACAGATAATAATTTATATTATATTAATTGATAGAATCTTTATCTTTAAAAGTTCAAAATAATTTATAAAAAAATAAAAAGTATAATTTATGATATGATAATTAATGAAGAATGTTTTGTGTGGAACGAGTTAATTTAAAAGAAGCTTTGTATTTTCTATTTTAATCAATTTATAAAATTTTTATTTAAATTATTGAGTAAAATATTCTTATAGAACTTAAAATTTTTTTTTATTTAATAAATTCTCAATTTTTATGTACATATATCTGGTTCAAAATTTATTGATAACAATTGAAAGAAATTAATGTTCAGATGGAATGCAACTCTCGGGATATTGGATTTCTTCTGAATAATCTTTGGATTTCTTACTGAGTTCTTCCAAAATTCGATATTTGCTTTCTATTTTAAGTTGATTTGTTGATTTATCCGCAGCATNAATGACTTAGAAAACATCAAATGTTATCTATAAGGATTCTTATATCATGGTCTTTCTTAAAAACTTACCTCATTTACCTTATCTTCAGGCAACTTTTCGACGAAGAAATCAAAATTATAAGGATGAAAATGTGGATTTCCAAAATAATAATAAAATTTCTGTCGAAAATCTGTTTTGGTTAAGAAATCATACCATGAACCATAATCATTCCAGATATCATTATATGCAACTTTAGTTCTGGCACCAATTCCAAGATACTGATTAGTAAAATTATGCTCATTCTATAATAAAATTGTCAAATATAAGTTAAATTATAAAGTATATTAATAAGAAATATATATACGTATATAAATGTTATGATAAATCGAACATACATGATGCATATGCTCTTCTTCATATAAAGGAATCTTGTCTCTAATGTAATTCGATGAATGATCTGTATAGTCATTTGTAAAGGTAAACGGTTCGAATTCGAGATGGTAAATATTATGTGAATTAATTGGGGTGTGTTTGAAGGTAATTTTTGAATTTTCAAAATCTAATGATGCATTTATATTTATTGGAAGAGAAACGGTAGAACGACGAAGAATGCCTGCACCATGAGTTACTTCTTCATAAGGTATGATAACTTCTAAAGTGGAATATAATTCATGATCATATCTGAAATTGAAATTGAAATTTCATTACAAATGAATAACTAATCTATTATCTTTATGGTACTAAAACTTACATCAAATGCCCATCAACACGAGCTTTAATTTCTGTTGTAAAAACACCTTTTTTCTGCGTTTCGTAGTCGAAATTATTATTAAAATGAAGATACAGTGGTTGCATAATGCTAAACACTAGAGGAAATCCTAAATCTGTTGGAATTAAATAGGTACGATCTGTTCCCAGAAGATATTTATCAATTTGCAAATGATCAGATTTGTTTATCTGATCACTATTGTTATCTGAAAAAATACATTTATAAATTAAAAAATAAAATCATTATCAAAATCTGCATACGTTTATATGCAAATTTTGTAAAGAATAAAACAACGGTCATCACAAAATACTCGTTTATTCTTACATGGGAACATTCATTAGGTTTTCAATCTTTTATATAATCTGTAATCTATACCTACTTTGTATTTTCATTAGCTATTCAATATAATATAAAATCTCTAGTCTATCTAACTGTTTTTATCTGCGAATATTTTTGTATTCTTATTTTGAATGGGATGCTTTGTAAGTTTATTTGTTTATTAATAAATCATCAATTTAGAAAATTCGTATGTATTACTTAAAAACATTGGAAATAATAGAAACAATTAATATTACCTAATGATAATATATTCTTGATAAATGATTCATTAAAATGGAAGAAACTAATTTGTGTTCCTTGATGTTGAATGAAAAAATCTCCATAAGTTGGCTCATATTCTCTTGTTTCTATATTAATCTAAGAATAAAAGCATATCTTACATTAGATTGTTTTAATGTAATAAAACATTTATTTCTAATGATACTATCCTACGTACCTTGTCATATAATTCTTTTAATTCTTTTTCTACAGTATTAACATCTCTAGGTCTGCGTTGTCCAAAATTTTCGAAGAAAGAACTCTCTCTAAAAGGACCTCTTGGGCCAAAAATTTGATCAAAATATTTTTCCAAACCGTAAGCTTGGTACCCAAGAGCAATAGAATTGTGAGATTCTCCACCAAAATAGTCATTCAACCTAACATAAACAGCTCTCGGGATGTAACTGGAATTACTATGAATGTATGCTATATGAGTTAAGCCTCCGTAATCATATTCTTCTAAAAATTAATTTAAAAATTCAAATTATTTCATCAATTAAAATTAAAAAGAAAATTATATATCGAAATAATTGTATTTACTTTCATAACCAGATGTAAAAAAGTTAAAAGAATGATCTAAATCAAGTTGAAAGTCATATTTCAGAGCTTTGAGTTGATGCAGGAAAAATGATGCTTTTTCAGAACTAAAATTAGAAAAATTTAGAATTATTTTTATGAAAATAATTAAAATTTTTTTTATAACTAAATTTTTATTTTATTACTTACATTTTCTTATGACAGGGATGTGTAGAATTTGCTAAATAGTAGAAAGTGCTATAAACAAATGATTTAACATGATCATTAGGTTCATGATATAAAGAATCAGCAATAGTTTCTAGAATATAACTAGAACTCTTTGACATTAGTACTAATGCAAATGCAGCTATTCGAACTTCATAATCTTCAGAAGTATCGAAGTATAAAGGAATTAACAATTCAAGAACCTGTACGGTATTAATTTTCATTAATTTAAAAAATAATGTAAAATAAATATCTTAAAATATGTTTTATTACCTCATCTGGATAATAATGAGTAACTCGGCTTAATGCCCATAATGCAGATACCCTGAAGTATAATGGATGATGATGATGATGATCTTTGGAAACGTATGGTTTTACAAATTCAATAGTTTGTCTCAACCCAAAATTTCCGGCAATTTTGATGTACGTTATTTCACCTATATTTCTCTCGAAACGTTGATGTGGAATTACATACTGCAATATTTATAAATTAAACATATATATATGTGTGTATATATGAAATTTTACAAATAAAAAATTCGCCTACATTAAAATATTTCTCTGCTCTTTCTGGAGTACAATGTTTGTGTTTCAAAGAGTGATCAATTGTATTTCCAACAACACAAGTTTGATGAACGAGCCCAGCAAATGCCAAATGACAAGTCGAATGTAGTTGATAATGTTCTCTAATATAAGGATATTCGCATAATTCCTATTTTAAAATATAGAATAAAATTTTTAGCATCTAATCAAGGAAAAAAAAATAAAAAAAAATTAATGTATTTTTAAATAATTACTTACGTAAAATTCTTGTAATAAAATTTCAGTTAATTGTTTAAAGTGGAATGGTGCAGTTGTTAAATAATAACTGATCATTTCTGGTTGTATTTTCTTATTTTCAAATAAATATTTGGCCATAAGAAAAGAAGGGTTTGTCCCAGTTACAGTCAAAGCATTAACGAATAATCTAAAAATATAATATTGTTAATTATATATATATATTAATTACATTTAAATAATTAATTTAATTGATTTACTGGAGAATTTTTGAATCTGTGAAATCATCTGTAACATATTTATAAACATCTTCAAATCTTCTGTAATCCAAAGTAGCTAATGCTCTTACAAGTTCAATAAATTTTCTTGGAATGTTTTTAGATCTATATTCTTCACTGCTACCATGAAAATCATGATGTTCTATAATTTCACGAAGTAGTTTCTTAACCTAGAAATTGCCTCATAAAAATTAATTATATATGTAAAAAGTATAATCTAAATATAAAATTTTCATCGTTTACTAACTTCTTCAGTGGAGACATGATAGCCATAAATATCATACAAATAATGAGCATTTTTTAAATCAAATGTCTCATAAGTTGATTTAGTATCTTCGTATTCATATGCTAAAGATGTATGTTTGATGACATTTTTGTAAAAAGAAGTTGTATCTATAGGACTATCTTCTCTTTCATTAATTAATTCTAAATGTCGACTGTAAGAAGCAATATTTTTTTAAAATAATTTATAAAAATATTATTATAAAATATATAAAAAAAACAAGTTACTTAAGTCGTGCATTAATTGTTTGAGTTGTGTAAGGTGAATACATAAATTCACCATTAGAGATAATTCTTTCGATAACATAATTATGACGATTGCCTCTGATGTTATAGTAATAACGAGAGTTCGCATGGAAGGGATGCTTAAAAAGAAATTTAAAAAAAAATTGTTAATAAATATATTAATTATATAATAAATTCAATTGTTAAAAATTAAATTACACTTTGAGATGATTCACATTCTACACATTGATAACCTTTATGTGTTACGTAAGAACGAACGGGATCCCTTTTACATTTGTGATAATTTTTCACTTTTGTTATGTTTAATACATTATTTTCGTATGGTGTTTCATGATAAACTTGGGATTGAATAGTATAAAATGTTTCACATTCACCTCCAACGCCATCCTATTAAGATGTTTTAATCAATTATTAATAACATTCACAAAAAATTCAATGAAAAATTTTAAAGTTTTACCTCATAGACTTTATAGTTATGATTTTCATATCTTGGTCTAATGTAATCTGAATTAAAATGACGTCTATCTTTACTATAATAGTGATAATCTTTCTCGAGATTCAAGTTGAAAAGTGCAAGAAGACCCTTTTTGATGTTAAGTGACCAAACATCTTCATTAGGAGACGTTTCGAAATATTGAACCTGGTAAACAAAAATAAAATTAAAAAACTCACTAAATTCTTAATAAATATTATATATATATAATAAAACTTACTCGACCACCATTAAAATAAACTCTAAATGGATCTCTTAAAAGTTTTTCTGAAGAAAGAAAGCTCTGAAAACTACTTTTCGTATCTTCAAATTCAGAATTATATCTCTCAAATACGAATGATTGCAACTATGATAAAAAATAAATTTTAATAATTTTTTAAATAAAAATAAATTCAATTTTTTTAAAAATTAAAATTAGTAAAATTTATATTTACTTCAAAGACATAATAATCATGAGAACGATGCAATATCACTTTCGAAGAAAAAGAGACACCAGATCTTTGTGGTTTCAACTCAGAAAAACCAGTATATATGTGACCATGATATAAATAATGATACGATTTTCCATATTCATAAGCTGTAAAATAATTTAAAACAACTTAATTAGAAAATATTAAAAATTTTGTGTATAAAATAGAAAAAAAAAAATTGTTCTCTTACCCTCAACTTTAACAAGTCCTAAAATAAATAATACATATTTTAAATTAATAAATGTATTTTTATTATAGATAAAATTTTAAAAATACTTACCTAATATAGTTAAAATGCTTAAAATCAAGAATAACTTCATGTTATTGCTATAAAACTTGGAAGTATTCTGGTAAAATTTTTAATATCTGTCTTTTATATAAACAGTTCAGTCTATCTACAGACGTTTGATATGATTAAATTATTAGTCTGACCTTCGAACTACACTTAGAAATATTAAATTTAAAGACATGTTTATAAATTTATACATATAGGCCTATATATATATGCATATTATAAAATCTTTTAAAACATATTTGCATATTTCTCACTTGAAAACTAATATGATGCGATAGACTTAACTATTATTTTAATTAATAAAGCAAATCAGATACTCTAAATTAATAAAGAATTTAAAGATTTATAAAATTAATAAATAAATTAGCAATTCACAGAAATAATCTTTGAATATATTATATATTTCTAGCTGTATAAAGAAGATATATAAAATTTTTATTTTATAATAAACTCTTGGAAAAAAGACTTAACAGGTCATCAGAGTTTGTGTCGCTCTTCTAATTTTTTCGTTATTTCAAGAATTTAAAAAACAAAACTTTAAACTCTGATCGACCTGGACCAAATTTTTCAGTTGTTTTCTAGGGCCCTGTGAAAAATTTAGGCTACTATAAAACCTGACTTCCCTAATCTTTCCTTGATTTCCAGATCTCAGGAACTTTATTTTATCTCCATTTTATTTTGTTTGTTTTTTTTCAATTGTTATTCAATTTGTAAAGTGCGATTATTTATTATTAATTTTGATTTTCGTTTTTAAAAGGACGTTTTTAATATTCTAATTTAAAGAAAAAAATGTTATAATTAGAAGCTTGAGACTACTTGCAGAGGAGCACAGATTTATATAGAATTTTGTTTTAAACGATAGTGAAAATATGGGAAGAACTTTTTGTAAAGAATTTTCTATAGATAATGGATTATTTTAGTTGCATTTATCTAGCAAAATCGATGGAGTGAAGTAAATTCTGGAAGATGCTTTAATATAAAATTTTATTTTATAACAAACTCTATCTATACACTGCTGTTTAAAGTAATTGCAATTTGTTTTACTTTCTAAACAATTCTACTTTCATATCGTTCATTATAATTAACGTTAATTAAAATTAAATTTGAAAACTATATTTGAATCTATAGAAATTTTTGAGTGCCATGAATGTCCTTGAATCACTAGTCTTGAATGACCAACTGTCGTACCAGATGGCTCCCCAAACTAGCATATCAGCAATGGAATAGTGAATCGCTCAACAGTAAAAGCAGGATTGAATCACTTATCAGTGGTCTTCCACACTCTAACGCGGTTGTCATCCGTTTCCAAATAGAATTGGGATTTGTCGCAAAAGACTATACGGTTCTTAGCGGTCTATGCTTCTATATCATTACATCAATACAAAGTCGACGATAGTAAGATAATAATGGCAGGACGTATAGCGGTCACCATTCTCTTGCCAAATTATTGGAAGAGTTTTATGGCGAGGCTTTCATCTGTCTCAAGATGGTAAACAAAGACAACGTTGCAGCTTTCGTGCTCGTCTCAAGATCAGATGATCATCTCTGATGATGGGCATCCAGAGCATACCCATCTTGTATGTGTGTTCTTACTTACTAATCTACTGTCGTAATACATACGCACAATCAAGTGAAAAAGGTCAGAGGGCAAACAATTCGGCGAAACGGGCATCCTTCTTCTTTCAGACCAATATATAGGATTTATCAAAATCCATCAGTTGTGTATAATTTCTTTTAATGTATCCTGCAGGCGTGTCCGGTGCTCGAACACTTCCAAACAGAAACAATACTCTAAAATTGTGACACACAGTGAGCCTCTGAAAACCTTTCTTTATGATAACGGAGTAGCGATTTTAAGGCATTCTACTGGCATTACCTGACGTGCAAAGGACTACAATTATAATCGTTAAATACTTGTCTGAGACCTAGCCCTATGCCGAGATTTGCAGTAATCAGACAATTTCATCCGAATGCGTAACTATTTTGTCGTATGAGTGCATATAAAATGAGACAATGATCTTAAGCATACAGAATAGCAGAATAGCATGAAAAGCTATAAAAAGTTACTGAATGAAAATAATAATAATTTGTTGAAGAAAAATATATATTTTTTTTCTGTTCGCTATCCCTGTTGTCAGTTATAATATATCCCTGTTCAGGTTTGTGTTTGTCAGTTATATTATAACTGACAACAGGGATAGCGAACCTGTAGAACACGTTGCCCAAAGTCAGAAAGATTCACTTACACACAGTATGTCATACGATTTCGTTTATTTTTTACTGTATAATATTCATACTAATTATAAATAATAGATTATAATAAGTGGAATATTAACTTATATTATTAATATTTTTCAATATAAAATATTCCAAAATCAGTTTAACAGAATCATCCGGAAGAAGTAATGTATGAAATTAAGTCAAGTAATTTAAAAGCAATTTATATTTCTTTAGTTTTTATTTTAATTTTATAGTCATTTCGAACTGGCTATTATTTTTTCTCAGATAGTTTTTTTTTTTATTAAATTTATTTTAATTAAATTAATTCATTTCTTTAAAAACAGTTATTAAAGTTACATATATCTTCATTTTTGAGTCTTCAAGCCAATGAAGACTCAAAAAGGTCCTTCAACCCTGGCCTACAATATGCTAGTGCTTAGTATTAATTAATTAATTGAAACGTGTTAATTGATTAATTAATTAAAATTAATTAATCAATTAACACGTTTCAACCTTCTGCGTTTTTTTTTGTCAAATATTTTAAGAAATGGATGTGTTTAACTTTAGTCTTTTAAAACAAAAACTTTACGAATTTGGAAAAATCATATTTAAATGAATAAATCATTATAATAATATTTCGTAAATGATATTTAGATTAGCTTCTTTTAGATAAAGTATAATTCCAATCCCTTATAAATACTGCCGAATAAGATTACTATAATATAATTTTAAATATTGAGACCTGATACGAGTGATATGGGGTCCGAATAAATAACAAATGTGGGACGGCCGGATGGCCGAAGCCGTTAACTGGATCGAATCTAGACTAGCAATCCCCAGAAATTTTTCATGAGCAGTTTTTTACCATTCAGTTGTCCCATTCTTGGCCCGGCTGAACCCATAATAGCTATGGAAAAAGGATTCTCTTAGTGCCTACAGGAAAGAAAGAGTAACAGATAAATATAAAATAAAATAATAAATCACAATTATGGGATCTTATCATTAACAAGAACCACGTAAAGATACATAAATAAAGAAACCAAAAACAGATTTTCCTCAATTCATCAAAAAAACTTAATATCTTTTTATAATTTTTTTTACATAGAAGACTAAATTTTAGTAATCCTTCTTTGTCATAGGTAAGACAAAATATAATCTTACTGTAGAAAAATATTATAAGTATCTCAAATAATGTATTCGAATATAAAAATTTAAAGTTTTCAAACTAGAAGGTTCGAATTATTCTAATATAGGTTTAATCGTATGTGATGTAAAAATGTTATCTTATGATTCCGATATTAAAACTTTCCATTCGTTCATAGTCCTTTGTGTAGTGTCTTGGAACACATTTTTCGGTCATTTTTTTTAAAAAAAACATTCCAATGAAGTCAATATCCTTTTTATAATTGCGAAAGGATTCATCAGTACAGAAGTGCGATCCACTTTCGATAATAAAAGAAATAAAAATATGTTATCGTCAAATAAGTTAAATCATTAATTTATCGAAGATTATTTTTTTTAAATGTATAATGAAAATTATATTGTTGAAGTATATTACTATTTTTAATATTTTTCATAAATGTGCGCGATGCATTGATTTATTTTTGCTTTAATATAAAGATTGAAAATATTTATATTAGTCTTGTTGAGACATAAATTCATACGATTTCCGTGCATAATTACAAGCAGGTGGCGCACCGAGTCGCATGTGTAGATCTCGCGTGATTTCGCGAGATCATACATGCGACTCGGTGCGCCACCTGCTTTCAATTATGTACCACCCACCTGAAAACTATAGGCATAAATAATTCATTTAACAAGTCTCATACTTTCTTTTATAGGTTACGTTCAAAGATACATTATGAAAGTCTCTATTGATAAAATTCCCTACAAAATATTTTACATTTAACAATTATTGATTAAAGTTGAAAAATAAATTTTTTTTAAATTACGCCGAATTGAATTATTATATACTTCTATATAAAACGAGAAATTACTTATTGTAGCATCGTCACAATGCTGGGCTTCAATTTGTATCGTATAATCGATTGAACACGTACAGTATATAACTTTTTTCTTTATATTCATTTAAATTATACAACTACTTCAAGATCTCTCCGTATAATAACTGAATATCACTCTAAAGATCATAAACAAACATTAAATATTTGCTTACAATGTCTATTTTGCTATTTACTATGAATACGATAGAGAAATTCAGAAGCATCGTGTTGTAAAGCTATCTTAAACCAATTGTAAACATCATATAAACTACGTCTTTTATGTGATACATTAACAATTTTGTATCATCTGTATTATTCTAATAGTAAATTAAATGAATTCTAAATCTGTATAAATTATTGCGGATAAAGATATTAATTAAGTAAATAAATTCTGATAAATATAAGATACTCAAGATATGAATTTCGAAGTAAAAAATGGGACAAATAACTTTTTAGATTAGCATAATTACATATCTGAATACGTAAATATATGTAATACAGTATATAAAACAAGTAATTTCTTTTGTAATTATTAAGTTTACTGTATTAATCAATAGTTTGGGACCACTCGGGAGATTTAACGCGTATTTGAAAGGAGTATCATATTGTAAGTACTATCTTTAGTATTTGAAAGGAGTATCATATTGTAAGTACTATCCTCATACAGGAGTACTATCTTTTTATTGCGCTTAAACTATACAAGGCTAATTCAATGTAAATATAATAATTTAGAAAATTTCAATGATTTTAAAAACAAAATCAGCGTTATATCATTATAAAAAGTACCACTCGTCATGCAATATTCTCTTCAAATTGATATCTCCTC